TGATATCACCTTTGAATGTAACCATCATTGTACCCTGAATTATTAGGGACCATAAAAGCACAGCACTTGGTTCCTCTTGTGTGACAGTTATTGCCAATGCATCAGCAGCACACAAACACATCAGCTCTCACTACGAGAAGTGGGACACCTTCTCTGGCCTTTTCCTTCATAGTGTCCCATTCAAGACAATGACCATCCTGTGCATGTGAGGCTAAGGAGCTATTTGAAATCCAATCACGGAGGGGCGGCTTCACTGTCGAGGCAACAGCGGCCCAGGGGGAAGCACGCTGTCGGCTGCACGACCTCCTGTGTTTTGCCGTCTCTTGTGCCGTGTTGGTTTAGTGGGGAATCCGAATGGAAGCCTTAAATCCCAGTTAATCTGTCACAGTGCTGGGAGAACTGGGCACTCCAAAGCCACGCTATCTGGTCATCAGCTTTGTACTGGTCTGCTGCCGGCAGACCCGCTGAGACACAAACATCCTGTTTAGAGAGGGAGTAGGAGAGAGATAGAAATACCAGTGTAAATGGTCAGTAGATGGAACGTCTGTGAAGATATGCAATGAAAGACTCACAGGTACACACTCACAGTGGTGTGTTTGGTTGCTGTGTTTGTTTACTCACCGTTTTTTAAAAACTGAATTTTTTTTCAAAGCTGAATATGCAAAGAGTAGACAGAGAGGTGTGATGTGTCATGCATTAGTATGCATGCGGAAACCGGAGAGCAAACATAGCAGCCAGCAGACTGAAATTTACCCCAATTATGAATCCACTGTAATGCTTGTGATCTCTTGTGCCATCTGAGCCAGCCAGGCGCAAACACACATACATCAAATATAGAACTAACAGAGGAATGCTCTCAGAATAAACTAAGATGACCTTAGTTAGTTTTACTATTTTGACGCCTGATTTCAGTGTGCATGTCTTGGCAAAGTTATTGAAAGAGATGAAATGTTGAAGTTTTCAATTCCTGAATCAACCCATGCACAGGACAGCATTGCCCCCTAGTGGTATGGTAGTTACAGAGTTGGAAGACATTATAATGTAAAGTTATACTTGAATTGGGCATAAAACAGTGCATGATTTTTTCAATGCACTTGTCAGTTTTGAGAGTTTCGGCTATTTTGCTTCTTTTACAAAGAAAGAAAACGTCCAAAATACACATTTAGGTGTTTATTTGACTACAATTTGTCTATTTGTGTCAGATGAAACGTGAAAGATTCAGAAAACTTGTAATACAAAAAAGTATTGTCTTAATGTAAGTAGTCAACTGGGCAATCTATTTAAAGTAGTAATAGTTAACTGTTTTACTCTATTTACCAGTAGTGTCTCCTCTAACACATCCTGTTTTACGTTTTAGAAATTTCTTCAAAGCCAGGCCTTGTTGAACTCAGGATGCTGAAAAACTCACTCATGCTTTTATTACTAGTCGTTTAGACTATCTATTAATAGCATAGTGTAAATCCCTGGTGCACATCGTATTTATTTAAAAAATATATTTACAGGACAAATTAGCAACTTTGGATAAAAGAGATAAGTAAGATAGACTGAAATCAAGCGGCTGCACTGCTTCCAAAAATCCTTGAAAACAACAAAGATGAAATGTTTCTTCCTATAGGTGCATTTTGTTTTTCCAACAGCCTTTCAAAGAACGTGTGCAGTTCACAGTACTTTCACAAGGGATTCAAATTTGAACCTGTACGTTGTTTTTGGGAGTATTTTGGCTGCCTATTTCATTAAAAGTGTTTGTGCAAGTACATTTTAATCTTAAATTATGACCACAATAAACAACTGCGCCCATAGAAAAAAAGTCTTGTATGTTGTCATCTAATTTGTCATTCTAACATCATGGGTGAGCTGTTGTGGTTCGTCTCAGTCCGCTAATGTGATGACCATGTGCTCGGTGACAAAATGAAAGAGAAAGTATTGACGTGTCAAGTACTGAAACTGCAGAGTCATTCCCAGGAAGTAACTTGACGAATGAGGAACTAACTCCTTCTGTTTGAAAATACAAAACATACTAAAGTCATTAAACAGTTCTAGAAAGTGTCACATGGTGGCATGTACAGAGTCCCGTGGTGACACAGTCCTTTGTGACATATGGATGACATTTTGTGGCAGGCTCTTGTGACAGCTCTGTGTTTGCCGTGGTGACACATGAACATTCTGGAAATCAGACAGGGATGGATCTAGAAAACGGTTCCTGCTCCTGGATCTGCAGCAGTCCACGAGTCTCCATGCTCTTTTCAAATGACTACGCAATGAAGAGGGATGAAAGCAAATAAAAAGCATGCTGGTTAAAGTATAACAAAACAGGGGGAGCCTTTGCACACGCTATGAACAGTTTAAAGTCTGAATGTTTACAGGAACCGGTTGTATTGTCTTCACTGGTTCCTCTGTGTATCTGCATTCCTCTCACTGCTCTATCTTAAGCAAAGGTCCATGAGGCCCTGGAATGTAACTATCACCGGGTCTAAGTCCTGAACCACAGGCTGAATAATGGAGACAACCGTGATGGAATGTGTTATGGCTTCTCACATGTGGTAACGGCAAAACAGCCGATACTACAGAACATACAGTACACTTCACAGTAAATATGCCATGAAGAGAGAAAACTACCATCAGCCACTGAGCATAATCTCTGTTTCACATCTGGTTTTAATCACTGTAAGTACAGGTAGTGCTCTCTGTCACAGCATGGTGTTATGGGTCATGGTTCAATGCCCAGTTCCCCACCGAGTGACTGTCTTCTCCTTAGTGATCTTTCATTTCATATACTGCAAGAGGACTGTGTGTCTGAAGAACTCTTCAATCAGACCTCTTACTTCACTAAAGGCCTAACCAACAGATGCTACACTGCTGTATGATGCCAGGACAAATACAAGACACACAACCCCCTCAACATGCACACAAACACTGAGGCCTATACATACAGAACTTACATGTGATGGGGCAAACCCTGGTATCTTGGTAGCTGGTAGCTTTTCTTATTCACACAAAACACACAAACAGAGTTAAAGACCCTGAAGAAGCCGGGGACACAATGAAGTGTCCTAGCCCCACTAAAACCCCTTTCACCGAGGGTCACTAAAGGAAGCAGAGGTCTCTCAGTGAGGGAGGAGCTGCCTGTTGATGAGCACCTTAAATACTGTCACATGTTCTCACATGCAGATTAATTAAAGAAGCAGATATGTGGTGCATGTACTTGTATCTAAATTTGCTGTAGGTTAACCAGCAACTGACAGTTTTTGTTATACGTAAAAAGTCCATGTTTGTCCCTCCAAGTCTACAAGGTCAGCAACTTTTTGTTATCCTGTTGGCAACACACCGGGACAATTGTGTGCCTTTGAATTGGTTTCCAGTAGGTTTGCGCCTATTGTTCTCTACAGTACATCCTGTTTGTCCTTTGGTGTTGAAATCCTTATTGCGCAAAAACCGACTAACCGGCTACAATTCTTTAAACACCCATTCAATTGCATGGAAGAATGAAAGCCCAGCTCACCTAAACACCCAAAACAACTTTCTCAGGCGGTACAAACCATCTCAATGTCTACACACCAAACCAATGCAGTCACAATAACAAATGTGCTTTGTTGTGTTTTCCCTGTGTCGTTTAGTCTTTTGTTGAACGCAACAAGCTCTCCAAGCTACCTTTTGACACATGGTGACTGAGGTGATGTTGACAGCTGGAAAGTTGGAAAGCAGAGAGTTACAACTGGTCTGATTTGCTTAGACTAAGCCCATTGAACTGCTTTAAATGTGTGATTAACCCTTATACATCAAACACAAGAACATACACAGACACAACAATAAGCAAACATCCTGTTTGTGACAAAAAGGTGGGTGTTTTGAAAATGATTTGAACTTATTTTATGAAGAGCACAACGTCATTGTTTTGTTCATGCATTAGAACGTCTTAAGTGAGGAACTGCTACTTGACTTAAATGTCCAGACAAACACTTTAAAGCCAATAAAATCATGTTAAAAGTAGAAGTACATACATGGATATTACAACACTTTTCACATCAGGCCAGTATGATCCATATGCAATACTGCATCTGTTAATCCAGATGTAGACAAATGAATGAGACCAGTGTGATGCCTTTTCTTGGCTTCTCTTCTTTCCTTAAAAATAGAATTAAATATCAATCAGCAAACCTACATTATGACATTGACAAGGCGTCATAAGAAAGAACAAACTCCAGGAAAAAAGGGATCCATAATATTGGCAGTTTATTATACAGTAAAACAAAATTGCAGTAACAAATGTTAGCAGCCTATATCAATGAAAGACTTAGAAAAAGAAATACCGACCTACTTCAATTTGACATGTGCTGCCCCCCCCCCTTATTTATGTGGCTTTGATAGAAAACTTAATTGTAGCCTTTAGTTTACATAGGACAGATTAACTCATCGTATGATCTCCTGAGAGCTGTGACAAAGTCATTGGCCGAGGAAAGACTTATATCTTTATCTGCTTGAACCATGTCAAGCCCCCTCCCTCGTTCACGTATTCAGCACGAGCCTATAGTCCCCATATGTGGAGCATATGGACATAGTTTGAGAGATGCCATTTAAATAAAACGTCAATATCGTATTCAGTGCCAACTTGTTGTTTAAACAAACAAAGAGACAACGTGCGGGTCAATATTTATATATAACATAGGGAATGTCCATCTGTCAGGTATATATTAAACATGATGTTTACGTTCTTTTAAAGTATGTTTTTAAAACATTGCACAAGAGCACAATGTATGAATTGATACCGAAAGTGTGAGGGACATAAAACAAAACAAAAACTAAAGGGGAATTATTTAATGCCAGCTGTCAAGCGAGACAAAAATAGCCGAATTACTTGGAAATAGTCAATACTCGAGTCTGCACCTAACTAACTAACAGTCGCTGTTGCTGAATCGTTGCGGCAATAAACGGAGCTGCTGTACAGAGGAGCAGACCTACAACATCCGGGCAATAGTCAGCTTGCGCAGAAACGGAATGGCGGAGGTAAGTGAGAGAAAAACGAGGAATGTAGCGACTCGAACGATAGAGAAACCGGACCGAATCTGAGACTTTGTGTCACGCCGTACGTTACACAACAGCGTCGACGGTTTCGCCGGCCGGTTACCGCCGGCTGAAAGCGGGGCTACGGAGGCATTTTTTAACTGGGGAGAAGAAATGGAGAACCTCTCCGGCGTATCGCCTCCCTCCGCGTTCTTAGCGTTAAAGAGCCATTCCCTCCGCCTTCATAGTAAAACCCGTAGAAAACAATAGGGAGCGGGGTCTAACACGGTGGTGCTGAACTATTCCAGGTGCTGCCCCGGCGAAGAAGTGAAATCGAGTGGGGAAAAAGTTGGGGGCAGAGAGATGTCACGGCTTGGCGGCGAACTCCGACCGTCTCTTTCGGAAATATTGAGAACTACTTATTTCCTTCTTGTTGCCGCTCGCAGTGAGCCGGGGAGAGGAAGAGACGTTCAGCACCAAGTCACAGGAAAGCGCCCCTGGTCAGACAGACGGCGCCCGATGGGTTGGGAGAGGCACGCCGCATGAATATTTAGCTTTTCACGGGACTTTTACAACTTCTTCACGCAGGAAACGTGTCTTTGAGAAGTAGCATGTCATCTAATTCACAGAGTGGGGGCAGTCATCGTGAACTGTGGTGGGCTCGTGTCGGCTGCATCCTCTTTTCATCCTGTCTTGTAACGTTCCTAAGTTTCTTTTTCTTTTTACTTAACTCTTAGCTGGCATGTCTTTGTCAAAGACACATGACGTCCCAAGTTGATTCATTATTTTGGCCCAAAACCTACATGGGAAAACTCGTTGACACAAAATGTGCTGTCACACCATATAAAAAACTATAATCGGATGTGTTTTGATTTTAAGCAGTAGCCTATATTACATTATATCACATTAAACCAATCCTAGAGTTGTCTGATTATTCTGTTGGAGATTTAGAAAGATTTAATTTACAATTGAGTGCCGCACTTTGATTGCAAGGTATGCATCTTTAAGTGACACTTGTATCCCTACTGCAGGTCTCATGGGTTAAAAAAAGGGGGGTTTAAAAGTTAGGAGTCAGCTGATCTGTAAGGGTACAACGAGCCAGGACCAGCCACTCTTTGATCCTCATGTTGTTCGCGTGTGCTGGCATGCTACACTGCATTCCCCGTGCTGTTGTACATGCATGTCTGTATAAGATGGCTCTGTGTTTGTGTGTGTCTGCAGGTGGGTGAAGAGCTCCTGAAGAGAAGTGCGGCGGTTGTGGCCTAGTGGAGAGTGGATGAGGCACAGTGATGAAGGCCCTCAGCGGGAGAAGCAGAAGTCTTCACAGGCCTTAGACGAGTTGGAGGAGAACTTTCGCCCCATGAAGATGGCAGCGCAGTCCCACACTGTACGGTCAAGTTCAGCCAAGTTTGTATACGTTAAAGCTAGTTGCTTTATGAAAGCCACTAAACATTTTTCTTTTGATTATGTGACTTACAGTATTCTTATTCTTACTACTGGAGATTTCTGCTTTGATTTAACTTACAGTGCATTGTTTTTTTTTGCAAAGACAAAAAAAAAATCCACGGACTAAAGATGCACTACTGCCATTTACAGTATATATTCCAAAAGCACCCGATGGGGCATCTGGTTTGTAAGAGTTAGAACACTCTGTGTCAGAGCCCACAGTAACACCTGTTGACAGGAGCTGCACTTACACACTCAAAAACAGCTCCACACTCCACATAGTGTCACCGTCTTCCTGTTCTGTCATATAGCACTTATGTGGAGTAGTGTGCAAACGAAACATTGTCTAGTCAGCAGATACAGATAATAGTTTTGCTTCATGCGCCCTCCTATGCCCATTGCCACAAAATGCAAAGCACAGAAAGACGGCATCCTTTGTATCTCTAAATTTAAGACAGTTGGAACTGTTAGTCCTCTTTACAAGGTTCAATGGATCCAAACAAACGTCCTCTGAAAACCCAGCTCCAGAAATAATATAAAACAATCAGCTATTGATTATCACATCTACATCCGCTGTCTGCGTCTGCGTCTGTGTTTGCAGGCTGGTGAGCTTCCTTTGGAGGAGCTGCTGGCTCTGTACGGCTACACGGTGCCCGACCCAGAGAAGGAGACCTGTCACAAGGCTGCCAGCCTGCCAGACATGACACTGGACAAGGTGAGCTGCGACGCAGAGAACTATTCATTTCTGACATATTATGAGTGTATGCTGTATTGTTGTGGGCTTTGCTATACTTTGCCGCTCTATTGCTCTCTTAACTTGTGTTGTACAGGATCAGATAACTGAGGACATCTTTCCCGGGGAGGAGGAAGACGAATCATTAGCTGATGATCTCACCCCCTCAGTCACCTCAAACACCTCAGACCTGCTCCGCCGCCTCCAAGGTAACGCACACATAGACATCTATTTACATGTTACTATATGACATTCTGAAAGTTTAACACCATATGCAGAAGCGGAGCCTTTTTTCTCTGATGAAAGTGTATCGTTGTATTGAAAGAAAGGAACATCCCTGGGGCCTGTGTTTTTGGTGGAACATTTCCTCATCATTCAATTTAAAACCCGTGCTTTGCTGAGACTGCAGCATGTTACTTACAGCTCGGCGGTACATTTCAATAACATGACATGCCAGAGGAAATTACATGAAAGCTTTGATTTGTTTATTTCTGTGTAATGTGATATGGGAGCTTCCTGGTATGGCAGCATGTACTGTACATGTGACTGAATGATGTCGAAGACACTCAAACATTTCTGAACTGAGTTTAGATACAATCAAACAGCCTTCCCCTGATGCTCACTGCTTTATCCTGAATTGTATTTTGTATTGAGTTAGATATATTGCATTTGTATTTTCATTATATCACTTTCAATGCTTCCCACTGCTGTCTCGGTTGGGTTTCAATAATAATAATAAACAAACAAAAAAGTAAAATAAATCTTTCAAAGTTTCAGAAATATTGTTTTGAAGTTACTGTGATTTGTCAGCAGAAATATATGCCCAAATCTTTTTTTTGCAGAATGTGTAGTGTTTGAAATGAAACTCCCTGAAACTCCTCTGGGATGTTTTGTCTCTCAGGTGGAGACAAAGACACATTAGTCAGCTCATCAGATGAGGACTCTGATGATGCATCTATTCCCTCCAATGAAGAGCACAAGGTAGCTCACACACACCTCACGATCAGTGGGCCTTTTTTTATACATATACAAGTTGACTCTGATTTAGATGTTTTGAAGCGGGGTTGTGTCTGAGGTACTTAGACACATAGTCAATGTATTATCTACAGTAGATGACGGTCGGCAGCAATTATCTAAACTCTGGCTACAGCCTTACACGTCCCATTTTAGTGCTTTGACAGACTTTGTCTTTGATTTCATTCTCAGGAGATCATGGTTGGCTCTATGCATCAGGCAAAAATCCCTCCACTCAGTTCATATACCCACCAGGAGAAAGGTAAGCACCAAGCCATTTCAGGTGATTTATTTAAAGCACCTCTGTGTAGAATTTTTGAAAAACAAAAATCGGACTTTGGCGACTCCCACTATCAAAGAAAGCAACTGCCAAAACACATCTCTATCTACCTTCACTGTCTCTTTGTCAGTTTTCTCTGCCGCTTCCACTGCATTTAGCCTCTTTTTCGCTACCTTTCCTTTGATTCCTCCAGCCTGCAGCAGTGAGGACCAGTGTCTGTGGAGGCCAGGAGTTCTGTCGATGCAGGAAGTGGAAGAGTTCTTGCAGAACGCACAGAGACCACATGGCCAGGAGAGGGCAGCAAGCACGCAAACGCAAGGAGACACTGTCCGAGACAACCAACAGGTATGGTCACTTTACATTGTATCCCAGAAGACACTTGTCAAGTTTCTCTTGGTTAAAGTCTAACCCTTTTCAACTCCTCCTCCTACTTTGCTCTTGATTCTCAGGCACTGTATGAACTAGTGAAATGCAACTTCAATGCAGAAGAGGCACTAAGACGGTTATGCTTCAATGTGAAAGTGTACAGTGGTAAGAACCTTCCTGTTGTCCCACAGTACTATCATACTTATTTATAATCCACTCAACGACAGTGGTGAATACTGATCAAATATTTATCGACTTTTACGTCATTTAATTTGCCAATGTAGTAGTATACTTCCCAACGTTATTTAGATCATATTTCATTGTGGGTCCATTCATGTCTTCAGAAAGAAACTACAAAACTATTATTAGTTAGAAGAGTCCCTCCCTCCAACGAAGAGAGCCTAATAACAACACAACGAGGGGAATACATTCTCGCTGCAGCTATTGAAATGGTTTCAAGCTGCATTTTATGGAAACGTTCATCAACAAGTTTCAAAACCAACATTTTGTTCTGCAGATGAAGAAAAAAAGTGACAGGAACAAAGGCTGTTTTTTGATGTCATTGTCATATTTGTCGATGTAGATGCTGTGGAGGAGGATTACAGTGGGTTTTCATTTATTCCACTTCATTAAAAGAGGCAGACCTGAAATTGGAGGACATTGTGGGGATCAGCACAAACAGGACTTAGGCAATAGATAAGAAATTAGGGGAGTCTGAGGGACTCCCAAATGCTCAAGTGCATTCAGTGGACGAACAGTACTGTATGGTATAAAGGGAGGCACTGCATCCAAGTCCTGTCCAGTCAGAGTCCTGAGTTGAACAATGACAAAATGTAGGATGAGATCATAAGCTTGTTAGAAAAGAAGGGATGAAATTGCCCACAAGTTTCACCATCCTCATGATCCTCGATGTACTAAATTGCCGATGCAACACACACCTTCTACAGCTTGTAGAATCGCATCCTTCACAGAGAAACTAGAACTGTGAGGGCACTGAGTAAAAGAGGGGAGCGTATACTCATTTACGATCCTGAAATCCATCATTGAGTTCCATGAACTGCAGAACAGATCGATCCCACGTGTGAAAACCAACATTTTAAGCCTACGCAAGCATTACCGCTGGAGGATACTGCAAAGTATGACTGTATCTGGTACCTTGTCAGTGCAACACCAGCTGCTGACTCCAACACTGCAACGGCGAAACAGTTCACCTCGTGACCTCTTACTCAGCAGCGAAGGCTCCAGTTTAAGTCCAACACCTCTGTTGTAGTTTGGAGTGAAAAAAACAACGACCCACTGCGAGGCCACAGAGCCCTGACTATACGGTTACACTCTGACACTGAGTGGTGACCTCAAAGCCTCAAAGCCCTGCTTTGTGATGATCGGATCCAAACGGAATCTCAGCATTTGGTTTTCTTTACAGTTTTCAGTTCCAGATTCAGGATGAAAATGATGCAAACTATAAATGAATAGTAACGCTGGAATACTGGTGCTTTTGTCTCTCCTTTAGAAGAGCTCTGTGCCTGGAGTGAGGAGGAGTGTAGGAACTTTGAGCACGGCTATCGGGTTTACGGGAAAAACTTCCACCTCATTCAGGCAAATAAGGTGAGTGCTGTGACGTTGTTCTGTTGAATCTTTCCTCGAGTTTGATGTTCAAACCCGACTAACCTGCTGGAGGCTACTCCTTTTGACTATTTGATGGGACAGCTTTTTCTCTCAAAGCAAACACTGTTTTGCTCCTCCTCAGGTACGAACGCGCTCCGTTGGGGAGTGCGTGGAGTATTACTACATGTGGAAGAAGTCTGAGCGTCACGAGTACTTTACCCAGCAGGCCACCAGGCTCAGCCGCAAGAAGTTCAGCCTACAATCAGGGAACATGTAAGTATTGCTTAGGGCTGTATTGAATGTCATATTTCTTTCTTTCTGTAAGTTATTGATAACTTACTCGGAACGCTGCTTTGTCACCCACCTGCACCTGTAATATTTTCTAGTAAGCTGACCCGACTTTACCCGACCCGTGCGTCGACCCACAACACAGGAATCTTATCCTACAAATAGTGAATTAGTTTACTTATAATATTACTACATGTAGCTTGATCTTTATGTTCAACCGTGCGGAACAAAACAAGTTAAATAGAATTTAAAAAAGGAAAAAAGTTGCGCAACATTCAAATGTTGATTTATAATTCAAATGTCAACGTTTTGTTCTCATCTGAACTTCCTAATAAATTCATAACGGTCCTATCCTGAGAGCCTATTTCAGTAACAGCAGACCTTGTTTAAGGCTATTTATTCATTAATTCCCATTAGTTGTAGCTTTGTCACACTAGAGTAATCTATTGGGCATCTTGTTTTTGTAAATCTTGTTTGTTTTTTGCAAGCTGAACAATGTTGTTGTTGTTTTGACATACTTTCAGGTTGAATTAATCCCTCTTAACTGTAATTCAAACCTATATTTGTATATTAAGTGCACCGTTGCTGGTGACCTCGCACTAATTACAAAATAGCACGTGGAACTGCTGTTTACCGAAGATGTTGCCCCCATCAATACTGTTGACAGTGTGTTCTTTTGATTATCCAGAGTAACAGTAACATTAACATTAGATTAAAATGAAAAAAAATGTAATTAAAAAAATTAAATTAAATTAACAGGGCCACTGTTACAACAATATGTTACAATGAGATATATATATATATATATATATATATACATACACACTGTATATATATGGTATTGGGATAACAACAAAGGGTGGATGCCACTGTGTCATTCTTCTGCTCTTTGTGTGTTAAATCTCATATTATGTCTTGACAACTTTTTTGTGGTGTGTGTTGCAGGGAGGATGGTGACCAGGACGGGGAGGTTGGGGAGCTGGAAGGAAGCAACAACTTGTCAGGCTTGTTGTCTCACAGCTCCATGGACACTGGACAGCTACAGTCCCCATTACCTCCCCAGTCCAGCCTGGATCCACACAAACAAGGTAAACAAGCACCTGATGCGGTGGCTCAAATTCTGGGAACTGTTGCCTCAGTATTTGCTCTCTTCTAGATGACCAACATAACCAATTGTGTTACAGCTATATTATTTCCATTATCTAATGTTTGCGTCAGAAAACAAGCACATGTGCATTAACAGCTTAGAAGATTTCCACTCATTTGAAGTGGAAGCTGGTCAGAGAGCACTTAGCGCTACCATTTGATTGTGAATAAAGCGTATATATTAAAACAATCCCACACACAGTGGGCCTTGAGGGTTTAGTTTGTATCCAATAATGCTGAAATCAGAAAGAGATATGCATCTTTTCTTCAGATAAACCATTTACATACCATGTTGTACACATATTCCAAATCACATAAGTTCAGCTATCCATCGTGTTGCACATGCAGTTCTATGGATTTCATTTTTGTCCATTGAATGTCTTAATTTGATTACATGGTCTGCCTTTTACTTTGACATCACATACTCATTATCTTACGTTTTGAATCATTTTTATGTCTCTCCTCCTTTTCTTTCCCCTACTCTTTTCGTGCTCCTTGTGTGTCCTGTGTTGTTGTGTTTGTGCGTGCCACGTATGCATGTCTGTACCTGCGTGTGTACATGCACACCTGTTGACATGGTGCTCCAGAGGAAGAAAGCCGTCCCCGCCGCAGACGAACGCCCCGCTTTCTCTTAAAGCCATGAACTCGGTCCAGACAGGCCACAGAAAGCAGGCTGGGCCTGCAGGTAAAGAAGGCAAGCAGAGAGACTTAGAGAGAGAATATGAATAATGTGGTGATTTGGAACAAACCTCATTAACTTGCCTGTGGTAGATAATCAAACTCTAATCATAGCCTAAAGGTACAGTGCTGTTGTATGCGGCCATAAAGGCTCCTCTGGCTATTCAGTAAATGCCACTTATCATCTCACAGATAAGGTCGAATATATTGAGTCATTTCAGCATTTGATAATTTCCGTCACATCTGCTCAAAGTCTAAACTCTGTTGCAGAGAAATAGAAATTATATTTAAGCTCAATATTTGTGTAGCAAACCTTTAACCGAAGCTGTAGTTTAAAATTAAAATGACTTGTATTTACAATGTAGATTAACAAAACAAAATGTATGAAATCGTCATATAAGTAACGATTAAGCAGATACATTTTCCACATGCATTTGGCAAGAGAGGGTAACTCATAAGGCCCCGATGCAAATGGTTTCATTTTTTCTTCAAATAATTTCCATTGAATCTCCTTTTTAGTTCTTTCATCTCTTCTATCGTTGTATGAGTGGACTAAATACAGACATTTAGTTGCTCTGTCATCTTCTGAACTCCTCTACATCTTTCCAGATGGTGAGCCGGTGATGGGGTCGTCAGGATTGTGTGGTGACGGATGTCCTCAGCAGCTGTTTGGCTGTCCCTTCTCCCTCCCGCCCATGGACGACCTGCGGGATCCTGGCTCAGACGGCTGTTGTCCCTCAGCTCTAGTTCAGCTCCAGTCCCAGCCCTTTCCCCAGAGCTCCCAGTGGGCCGGCGGGAGCCCTCTGTCCTGCCATGACGACCATTGCCTGCCGGGCTCCTGTTTTTACCAGCTACACATGTGCAGTGGACCTTTTGTGTCAGAGGGCCCTGACTGTGATACGGCAGGCAGGGGTGCCGGCCCCCACCACGGGCTGCAAGTTGAAATTAGCCTGCCGTCTGCCTCGCCTCCCTCGTCGTCTGCCCTCCCGTCACACTTCCAGGCACTTGGTAGCCTGCTGCACCCATCTCCCGTCCAGCATACCCGCTCGCTCACACAGTGAGGGGACGTGGGAGAGTCTAAACTGAGTGGAACTCTGAATAGTTTGCCCTGTGTTGAGATCTTTGATCGGTGTTGGCATTTACACCGGGGCTCGAAGAATCCAGGACAAAAAGTGCTTTTACCTAACTTTGTGAAAAAGGATGGACCTTTTGACGAGTGTTAATCACTACTTTCAGGTGTTGATTATGTGTTTATTAACAGTTTATTACCACAACCTGCACCAGGGATGAACTTTTGATTGGCTACTTTAAGTGGCTCCATAAACAGATCAATGACTGACAATGTTTACCACTGTTTCTTTGTTTTCTTATTTATCAGGATGGCAATGCTTAATTGCAACTCAGATTTAATCAAAACTTCTTCCACGGAGAACTTTCTTGAGGTATGTTCTGCATATCGCTCGGCACTTTGGCAGCTGCAGCCATTTGAGATCTGCCTCTGGAGATTTCCACGGTGACATGGTTGCTGGAGGTCTGATCCCGGAGTCAAATCTGTCCATTCAAACTATATGAATTAATCCTCAGTTAAGTGTGTAATTGGCTCTCCCTTTTCGCTTCCTCCTGTCTGTTTTGTTTGCACTCCTCCGCTCCTGTCTGAAAACATTTGGCTGGAAGAGTCAAACTGTCTCAAGAATTTAGTTTAAATACAAAGAGCTGAAACTAAATGCCATTTTCTGAGGCTGATATTTGAACATGGTTGGAGAAAAAAGGAGCTCCATATTTTTGCAGGTTTTATTTTTGCTTTTGTGAAAGTTTTCCTTCTTGCTCTTCATTTGACGATTCACATTAAGCTTTATAAAGGTGCAGTGCTTTGTCATCCTTTCTGATCACTGTTTCTATCATGTTCAATATGAAGTATCATTAAGAGCCTGTTTAACCTGCAGAACAGGCATCAAATAAAACGTGCAAATGTAAAATGTACATACGAACATAGTTAAGTCACTGAATGCAATCACTCTTTCTCAGGTACTGCAACTTTAACGATCCCCAACACCGTTAATCAGTGAGAGTCCGTGGCTGTCACTCTGAACAGGTGCATAGAAACAGATCGGGTAGAACAGCGATTACACTATTAGAAGTTTAATGGATTAAGATGCGCCTTGTCGGTGTAAGAGTAAAACATAGTAACTATAGGCGAGTGCAGACTACAATCAAAGCTGTTTCCGGAAATGAAAAATAATGTGTGTACCCCCGTGATTTGGATCTGCTTTAAACTTTAATGGTTTCTTCTTTGGCTCGTGCTTCATCCTGCCACCAAGTTTCATGAAACACGAGCAAGTAACTTTGCATAATCATGCTTACAAACAAAACCAACACACCCAACTGAAAATATGAACTCCTTGGTGGCGGTAGTGACAGATGTTTGGGTCTAAAGATCATTCTAATATGGAATTTACCGGTTCTGATGTCATCTGTAGCCTCTTACATTCAAGTAACATCCAATTAGTGAACAAAGGTACATTAGAGATATTTTTATTGCCAGAGTGGGACAGTTTAACAAACACAGGAAATCTCTTATTTTCTTTTGAAATGTTTTGTTCACTGACCTCTGCCAGACATAATGAAGTATACTGAACAATGTCACGTATGTAGAAGCCTTAGTATTTAAATAATATTTTTTATTATGCAAATTTCCTAAAAAGTGCATCACAGATTCTCAACTTTTTCTTAACCGTTTCCCAAACTTCTCACAGCGCCGTCAATTGGATTTGTTAAATGATGACAAACTTTTATATTCTCAGTGCACATTTATCATCTCACATATCGTGTATTTCATAAAGCACAGATGGAGCTTCAAGTGGATGGAACTTACAGTTTCATTTCATACAGAGGAATGGGCCACTTCCAGGTTGAGCATCGTATATAAACTTACCATCTAAATGTGATGGTATAGCTATATAAATATAGATGGACAAAGCTTATAGTAAAGATTATTACAGTGAATATTATTAGATTTTTTGAACTTAGGTAACCATACATTGATGAACTTTAATATGCCTCTCAAGAGAAATAATTTCAAGAATTTGTAGTCATTACACAAAATAATGTATTGATTTGTGTATCCATTCATATAGTACATATGTGGTATTTTCTTCTGTCAGTATATTTTAGTTTCACTGTCTGGAGAGTTACAGGCAACAAAAGGGCTCAGCCTCATGTTCATCCTCCCATCGGTCCTATTTATTTCATTTAAATGTTGAAGTTCTGCCTTTTATTAATTCTTTATTTTTTTAGCTATTTATATATTGTATTGCCTCTGTTATGTTTGTTTATAATCATATTTTGTAAAAAAAGAAAGAGGATTAAAATGAACATGAGTAAAATAATTAAAATGCATTTTAATTATTTTTGAAAGCTGATACAGCACCTGCAATTGTTTGTGTCATCTACACAGGAAGAAGTATAATCACATGTTTGTTTACAAATAACAATTATGAAAGTTTGGTAAGTTTAAACTGGGAGGAGGTGAGGTCCAGAAAGTGAGATTCAGAAAACATGTCTGTGCCTTATAGTTTCCTGTGTGTCCTAGTAGTAGTACATCAGAGCTGTCCTGATATTTGTCCTCATGCAGACAAAGCAGAGAGCAAGGTCATCTCTCAGAGCCCCGGCTGCTTCCTCTCACATCTGCAGTCCAGGAACAGAAGCCTGAATCATTTCCATGAGTTCAGGAAATTCAGCCTCAGCTCCAGAATGGACAAAGCCAACCTGGCCCATGTGGCACTTCACATAGTTTGTGTTGCGCTGCTGCTAAAGGTAGAGACAGTTTGTCTCTTATAGGTAACTCTCCAGTTTAACAAACTCTTGTTGTGATGTTGTAATTCCTCAAACTAGTGTCATCAAATTACTCAGAAACTCTGATGTAATCTAGTATTGTTAGCCTTAGAAAACACATACTATCTTGTCTCAGGCACATATATAACATTCGCCAAATGTTATTCCTGTCGCTCTTCTGTCCCCTGCAGAGTTACTCCCCAAGACCCAGTCAGCCCCGCTGTGTCTTCATCGCCGATGATAAAGTGACATGCCACTGGACAGCTGGGAGGAACTCTCCTGCTAACACGTCTATACTTCAGAGGCTGACATGTAAGATCTATTATCCACTTTGTTCATCCATGTGACTTGTGTGTTTCTAAAATGTTGGGAAAGCCCTTTGCTTGCACATCTAAATATATTAATTTAGACAAAAACAGGTGTTCCCGAGACAAGTAGGTATTTTCTATGGGCACTTGCATAACTGATTACAGTTCCAAAATTTGCAGTTCAGTCACAGCGAAGTTACAATTTTTCTCTCTTGTTCACTGCTTTACATCAGACAGCCCAGCATGTGGTTTCAGCTGGCTGCAGTGCATTGAAATGAATTGTGACTGTGCTCTTTTATATTATCAATCTCAGTGAAGTAGCACTCAACTGAAAACATGTAGTACTTTATGACCCTGATTCTGGTATGCTGGGTATATTTTTAAGTATTTTAATTATGTACTGATCAGACAATCCAAATAACTGTGAATAAATGCTATTTCTCATCCACAGTTTCTCGAGGGCATCTAATATGTCCTTCAGAAGATGCATTTGGTCTGAAGAAAGATTGTCTTTCTGCTGGTGTTCATGTCATGTTGCCGTAGTGTCACTCCCTGAGGACCACTCCGATGATTATATCATCTGCTGTTCATGTTTATGGTAAGGATATAGTCAAATGATTTGATATAAATAAATGTGTGTGTGTGTGTGTGTATCAGTTCCTGTTAATGAATTCAAATGTGTTGTATTTTTCTGTTAATGACTGATCCCAGAGGGAAATATTCTACTGAGTGACCTGTTGAGAACATAAACAGAATGGTCCTACCAGTTTTATTGGGTGTGTTTCCTCGTCTTGACAAAACAAAGTGAGAACAACAGTGTCTAAACAAGCCATGAATCACTTCATCATTGTCAGTATATAATGGCTCATTAATGACGCCCACATTTTCAAACAAGGCTGTTTCAAGCCTTTCAACAGTTGATGGAGTTTCTTACCGTCAGCTCAACACATGTGACAACACTGCATGGATGATAGATGTTTTTGGCAACTGTTGCGTCTAATTGTTCCTGAGGCACATTCAACAATTACAAACTACTCCATGTCAACCTAGTATCAAGTCCATTATTTTTAGTTTATTTTGTATGTATTATTGATGTATTTATAATATAACTCATTCATGCCAACTCTCAATGTTTCTTTAAGCCCAAGGCCCAGACGGCGGAGGGTTATCTAGGTGAGCACCTTAATCACCTGCAGTGTAAAGACTCTCTAGTGACTAACCAGACAGTCTGTTTACATTTAAACAATATACATTTACTCAATCCAGGATCGGTCACATCATGGCCGATACCCAATCTGCTTCACGAGGTCAGTATTGGCGCTGACTCAGCTCTGTCTTCTTGGTCAGTCCCTATTTACTAATCCAATATGGGAAGAAAATATATTTGACATTATGTCCGCTCGGTCTGATATTTTTCTGTGTGAATCACTACATAGCAGGGTCATTCTGTGGCATGTGGCAAACTTGGGTTTTGCCTTGGGAGTCTTTTGGACTCCAGTGCATCAGTTCTGTGCTGATGTTGATAAACCCAGTCTTAATCTCAATGTTTTCTCCCATCCAGTCTCCTCCAATAAGTCAGAAAGCCTGCACCAGCCTGTGGGTTTAATGCGTACTGTCAGTGAGAAGAATCCCACAGTGCACCGCAAACTGAGAACGGCTTGAAAATGACATTCACTTCCTGTCAGCTGACCCTGCCCATGGCGCGCTCCTCCTGCTTTTTGACTGCAGCCAGCTCACCCGACCAGCAACCACAGACACACGTATGCGCCAAGACTCCATTCACAAAAACAGATATTCTGTTCACAAAATGTTTCTTATAATGTTTCGGTTGTAAATAATATTTTTAATCATAACTAAGTATTTAGGTGGGAATTCGGTGTGAAAATTCTAATACCATGATATTTTCTGTTTCTATGTAGAGTTATGAATACAGTCGGTGTATAAACGCTGGGTGACCCTAAGTTGCTCATAGTAGGTCTTACATGAAGGTTTGCTTCAAAATCAAAATTTGTCATCAGACTCTGGTTAGTTCATTTATTTTTCTTCTCACTCGGTTCAACCCCACCACCTTGTTTGTCAGAAGATGACTATTCAGAGAGGAAACCATTCTGGTTTGTGTCCTTCCTCTTGTGTTCATTGTGGTTTTACTCCTCCTCATTGCTGCATGTAAGGTGAGATGATCTACTAGTTCAGGTCTATTCCAGTATTGGTGTAGTGATGAATAAAAATTGGTGTAATAATCTATGACTTTCAAAAAGTGACTCAAAACAAGGATGAGTAAAGCATTCGACTCAATTTATAGCAAGAAGCAGCTGACAGGTATTTTTCTTTCATTAGAGAGAGAAAAAAAGATTAGTAATCTTATTTATTGCAAGATGTTCAGATCTCCAAATCATTAAAAGGCATCACAACCATCAGTTTGCGAGAAACTACAGGCAATAACAACATTTTTCATGGACTGATCAATTTACAGATTTTGGGCTATTTTGCTTCCATAACGTGTCTTCTTTCAGACTAGTGTTACAGGTTATACAGGTTACCTGTAATACAGGTTAATTCCCACTAGTCGGACTAGTCCCCCCCCCCTCCTCCAATGACCCTAAACAGGAGCAGTGGTTAAAGATAATGGATGTCTTTCAAGGCTGTTTTCTCAAAATAAGTTTTTTTCTACTCTGAGCCAGAAATCGCCACTTTAACATACGTCAAACTTTCCAGTTTCATTCCTATCTATTGTGTAAAGTATTTTACGGAGGGGTTTGTGCATATAAAACTCATAACCTGATCCATACAACATGTTATTCCTAAAAACATGGCAGACATTTTTTTTAAGGCTGGTGACAGTATTTTCTGATTCGTGGAGTGATAAAAAGAGATATCCAAATGTCACTTCGTAAAAACGTTTGACTCAATATTTCAACAAAATGAAACAAGAATTTTGAACCTGGCTTTATCTAATGTTCAGATTTAAGTTCTGGTAATGTATGCAAATTGACACTATACAAACAAATACTTGTGATAATCTACTGGGGAAGTTTCTTCGTGATATTTATTGATTAAAATAGTTTACCCATTTACTTTGGGTGTCTCTCCTTAATCACAACCAACAAAAACTGTGCTCCAGCTTTTATTTTCTTCAAGCTAAATGTTATTCACGCTGAGACTTTTGGAGTAGCTTTCATCAAATTATGGAGCTTTAATGAAACACATCACTTTCACCTTGTCTATACAGTTGTACACACTCATCAGTGAGAGATGTCCAGTATTGGCATCACAAAAGAACTCTAATGTAGCAGTGTTATTTGCTCAATATGAAGTACAAAATGAAATGACTCTGGGAGTTTAGTGCTATACCTCCGGGTGTTACCAAACCAGCAGATGTTCCCCGCTGGTCCAAGGAACCAAACAGAAAGACAGTTGACCACGAGAGAGAGACTTGATTTTGAGTGCAGTACAGCAGGAAAACCCTGCATATGACGTAATTGCAACTCTCCCTTTATCTCATCTGGCCTCCTGCTCTACAGGCCAGGTTTCACTGGCAGATTTAGGAGGAGCCACTGGGATGGCAGCCAAATAAATTTGATATGTTTTTGTAATTACACAGTCAGTTAACAGAAAAACAGAGACAAAAAACAGTTTACATTCCTTACAAGACAGATGACTAAATGACAAAGTTTCTTTTAATGAAAGTACAACTTACAAAGCAGACAGATGATGTTTTGTTTTCTCTGCTTAGTTGTCTCCACTAGTGTGTGACTGAGAATATAAATCTTTATAGTCTCTCACCATCTCAGTTGACTATAAAACACCACCATCATTACTCTCTTTCACCTCTGCGTGGGGTAGCAGAGTTTTTCTGACTGTCCATGGTCGTTAACAGAACTTTATTTATCCTTATTTCTTTAAGATGGACATGTGAGACTCATTTGATTTATTGTGTAAAGTATTAATATTGCATTTGTTCTTGGATTTGTTTTGTTCCAGAGACACAAGCCCATGTGTGTCTTGTGCTCCATTTAAGTTCTTAAATGTAATTACCTGAGTTCGGAGAAAATAAACTTTGGTCAGATTATTGAGAATACCTGGCTCCTATATATTCTGATCCGATGCCCACGATGATGGTCAACTTCTCACTCTGAGCCTCTTGATTTACAGACTTCCCCGTCACAGTTTCTATTTCCCGTTGGATAAAGCAGAACATCTGGCCTCCAGTGCCTGACCCTGCTTTCTGCTTTCAGCAGTTTGATCGCCTGGATTTCCAAATCTCAACACACGACAAAAAACTTCTGCTCAGAGAAGGTGGCTCCCACTTCAACCTCTAACTAATGAACTGTGTGATGAATAAGACAGTTAAGAAATGTATAGATTATCAATTATTGTATCTGTGAACAAGCATTGCTTCTTTTGTTTTAATTTCAGCCCAAAATGCAAAGCACTTTGTCCCCAGCTTACATTTTTTACATTTTTTACATTTTTTCATTTTGGCCATGACAACAAACAGTAAATCTTGACAGGAATACAATTTTTATCTCTGTCTTTTTTTGTTGTAAATTAATTATTTTATGGACATTAATACATTCCAGTTTCCTGACTTTGAACGTGTGGATTGAATCATGCTAAGAGAACACACCAGGTCCTTCTAATTAGACTTTAAGATATTGAGAATTTGTCCATATCTGTGTTAATATCTGTGTTGGTTTATGGTAATGCCATCTGTGCAGAGTCAAGAAAAAATTGTTGTTTCAGAAGGTCAATCTTTCCTTCTTTAAGAGATTCTGCCTGCTAAGCTTGTTGCTGTTAGAAACAACCAGAAGGGGGCAGAAAAAGCTCAGTTTAAAATATATCCCCTCTCGTGTTGCCCTGACCTCTCCATGCGGTTCCTTTTCCCACCTGATATCCTTCTGCATGTTATTATTTCACTCACAAACTCAAGTTGTCTTTGACAGCTGAACGGTGCTAAATACTCTTATTTCAGTACATTTAACTCTACCTTCTTCTTGCAACTGCAGAAAGTCAAATAAAGCTGAAATACAGAGTTTGTTTGTGTCAGATTATCTTCTAAACACAACGGTGCTGAACTAATAGACTTGGGGCTAAACGAGGTGTTGGTCATGCAAAAAGAATAAACTATTAATACACACAAATGACTCTGTCGTACTAGGCACATGGCTGGATGTTGGCAGAGGGTGGTGTCCTGGTATTGGCTGCTGGTGGGGAAACATCGTGACTGGGTGGAGTCATGCTGGTGTTGCTACAGTCCCAGCAGGTCTTCCTGCTTTAATTAAGCTGGAAGTTTTATCCTCTATCTTTCATTCCCCCCCACAGACACTTGTGCTCAGTGTGTGTCCACCTCCCAGTGACGTGAAGGTGTTGACTAATGTGTGTTTGCGTCTTAATTAGAACCCGTTTTCTTTTTAGTCAACTTCAATATAAATCTCTCTCATATGGGAGAAGAGTGCACTCTAGGAAACGATTAAGTTCTCAACTAAATGAAACAGTTCAAGTGTTTTTCCCCTGTGGATCATTCATGGGGTAAATGGAGTGCATGATGGGATGAGATAATATAGGGCACTCATCTATGTGAGGAGTTCAGAGAGCTGAGTCCTCAATTACAGCCATAGCCGTATTGTAGTGCCAAATCCAATAATTAAGTCCATATAATGAGATCAGGTGCAATGGCAGTCAATAGCTTTAGGTTATTACTTTATTCCATCTATTTACAGTACTTTTGATCTGACAGCGCAGTTTGTGTCATATGCACTGCTGTCAGGCACCTCCTGCTGCTCTGATTCGTACAATGTTTAAGTCCTCTCCACTCAAACGACATAAGAACGTTGGTTTGCAAAGCAGGGGGAGAAAAACCAAGCAAAACCACTGAAAGGTTTTCTCTCGCGCTCTTTGCTCGTCTGTGCGTAAACAAAATAATCGAGCCTGGCGATGATCAGAGAGCCAGAGTGGAACAAGAGAGGAGCCAGACGAGGAAGTTAGGAGGAGGGACCAGTGCGGTGGCGTGGTGTGTGCCGAGAAAACACACAGTGTGTACTGGATTCTCCCGGACGCCTTCGGCGCTGTGAAATCGGAGGATCTCTCCAGTTCTGGTTTTGTACCCGAAGAAGTAATGCGCGCAAAGGGACGCAAGACTCCAGTGCTGCTGCGAACCTGCTCAGGGGCGAGTTTTTAACAGGCGGCCGTTTTAAGAAAGCCACACACACACACACACACACACCTTTGCTGTCAATGTCAGCACAGGTAAGGAAGAGAAGGGGATCCCGGAAGAACTCGTCGTGCCGGTTACCAGGCTGTCATAGCCTGCATTTTTTATTCCAAAGCGAGCGAGCGCCGATGGACTCGTTGGTCCCTTTCAGAAAATAGTGACTCACTCATAAAGTTATTGATTTTAACGTGAATGAACGGAAAGAAGATGAAGGAGCTGAGGAAGAAGAAGTTGTACGTGTTGATGGACCTGCTGTGCGTTGTAGTTGGTAAGTTATGGACACTTAAGTACGAGACTATACGTCAGCATAATCAGCCTTGTATCTAGGAATTGCACTTTAATGGTGTCAGCGATAATTCTTATACATATAATCTGATAAAGATCACATGTTTGTGGTCGCAGCAGTTTCTTGTCGGTCGACACGGCGTGTTTTGCAGCCATGACAGCAACTCAGGAATTCTTTCTTTTATTTTCACGTTAAAGTGACACGAAGACATGTTTTTAATTGGAGGAAAGATCTGCGGGACAACACTGGAGCTGTTTCAACCCTGTCTCTCTTTAAACAGGCACATGAAGCAACTGTGTTTCCAATGCAGTCCAATATTATAAAAGAGGAGTCATCCCGTTTGTTTATGCACCTCCCTACTGCAATAATGTCCAGGCTGAAATGTGACATTAAGTGGCACCATGGTGACACACAAGAGGAAATACGTTCATTCTCCCCGCAGGCCTGCTGCATGCTCCGATCTATTCAGCAAAAACTTTGCAGGTCTTTACAGAGCCTCAGGAAGCTCAATGTTTGTTTATGGAAATTTGATATGCGCGCGTGTGTGCCGCTTATTCCTCATTTTCTTCAATATTTTCTCTGCCAGGAATCTTCTCAAGAATTTCCCACTTCCCACATACAGTGCATTTCTCAGGATGGTACATCCACATTTCTCCATAGACAATTGTTTTGCATTTAACTTCAGTGTTCCACAGGGTTAGCCTGCTGTTTTCCATTGTTGTGGCAACTACACCACATGGGTTTGTCTCCTTCCCCCTCTGAGCAATGAACAAATAATGAATTGTTGTCTTTTGTGAATGGAACTGAATATGAAGGGGGGGGGGCTGTCCACACTTCTTACCCTCTACTCCTGGCACCCTTGTCCAGACCACACCCATCTTTGTACTTTGTAACCACAAAGCTGTAAAGTTGTGTCTGACAAACAGAAAGACAAACAGACTCAAAACCACGTCTGTGTTAGTTCCAGCAACAATAGGTGTCCCCAGGAACACATATTACCATGACGACACACACACACACACACACAGGCTCACAAGTTGAAAACAAAACCAGCCACTCGCTGTCGCTGCTGGTAACAATCAATAGATGCATCATTTAGAATAGATTCATTAATACCTACGTACATTTCTAGACCATCATGCTTCATAAACCTATGTGATACTTGTGGTCTTCCATTATAATAATGATGAAGTTCATAATAACATTTACATCAGAAAAACCAGTGTCAGTGAGAAGTCCTCACTGCAGAGAAAAAGCTGTTTTCAGCCTCAGACATTTTGTGTGTATGTGGAATGTACCACTGTGGTGGGACTTTGGCTTTCTGTATTAATGCCACAAGCCCTTGACAGACGTGTGTTGCGTAGTGGTCTGGTGGTTGGCGGTGTGTTCATCTCCTGTTGTGTCTGCACTGGTGATAGTGGTAGGAAGTTGGAGGGAGAACGTAGAAAAGGATGGTGGTGCGGATCTGCTCTGCTGTGCAGTTTCAGTCCCCCCCCGGCTTTTTGGAGAGCTTAGGGGTGTTTTTCCGTCTGTGGGAACATCCGCAGACTGCTGAACTTGATAAGCCTCACCATTTTACTGTCACAAGTCTGGGATTAACGTCTGGGTTTGGTCGGTCGGTCAGGTCTGGATAGTGGCATCCCACCCTTTTGCCTCACCCTTCCCCTTTGCCACCCACGTCAGCCACCCAAATAAATGTCATATCAACCCCAAGCTTATGTGAGGTTGCCCCAGCCATATAATAACAACATGGTAGAAATTGTAATTATGGTAGTCATTAGCCTATATGGAAACTGAGTTTTAAGATGGGCTGTGACTGCATTTTGGAAATATTTACATTTCTTATTGTAAACATTCATATGTGAACATACAGTTTTGTAGAGTGAAGCCAATGCGGAAGAGCCTGAAACTTGCATTCTTTCTACCAGTCAGCAGGTGACCACTCGTCTGGTTGCAAATAGTCCGGTTTAATAGAAGTCTATGAGAAAATGACCTTACTTCTCGCTTGATATACTCCCTCAGTAAACATTGTAAACATGAGTTTCTGGTCTCAATCGCTAGTTTCAAGACTTCTTCAATACAGCATGATGTTCATTTAGTAAATTATGGTCCCATTTAGAGTACAATAGACGATAAAGCAGGGCATGCTTTCGGGCGTGGCTACCTTTTGATCGACAGGTCGATACCATGATGTTGTCCGGTTTGGGTGTTGTCTGTGTTTTTGCCACATAACTTAAACCCTTTCAAAGTGTGTTTTCAGTTCATGAAAGATAAATGTGACATTTTGGTCTCCGAAAAATGTATTTAGCGTTGAACTTAGCTGCCCAGGTCAAACTAACAACTATTGTTGTGGATGTGCCTTATTTTGTGTTCATACAATGTCAAACACTCTCACTGAATTTCTTAATGGAGAAATCTGACAAAAAAATGTTGCTTATAACAAAGAAGTGGTTTTCTATTTCCTCCAACACAAAGGTTGTTGTATTATCTGTCTAGTTTACAGCTAAGAAACCCGTCCGACGCGTCATGGGGGACATCAAACATCAGCCTTGGTCATGAGTTTATTGGTCATTTAAAGCTTGGCCTCCCATCTTCTTCTCCATTCTTCCTTCATTGTATCACTCCCTTCCTCTCTCCTCCTCTGCCCGTGTAAGTCTACACTCAGCACAAACGGAGGGTGGGTGTTGGCTGACAGCACAGAGAGGAAAGGCCGGGGTTTAACCTCTCCCTGCGCACAGCTCAGACCCGTATAGGTGCAGTACTGCAGATGAAGGTGGTTCGGGAGTCATAGGAGGACCACAGCTGATATTGCTGCATGACTCAGGTGCTTGCAACGAGCTGTGTGTTATGAGTAATGTGTAAGATACTCAAAGTAAGTATGTGGGACTAAAAGGCCTCGAGGCAATGAATTGGTGGAAGACACGCTGACGCACAATTTTGTTGTCTTTGTGCCGTGAAGTAGTGACAAACCAGTTCTGTTTAAAGTCTATCCAGCTGAAGTTAAATGTCCCTGTCATGTGATTCTCTTTTGTATTTGCATGCATACACACAGTGGAGTTATTTAATTTAGTATTAGCATCTTGTTATTGACCTATTCATTACCTGATCTACAATAGTGTTTGCTCCCAAAGCCCCGCAGCTGTAAACAAAGAGCTGCTATGTTTTCCTCGCCTTATTTTCATCCTTTCAGACTGTTGGGGCATGTGAATATGCCCATGCTCTGTTCTTTGACCTCGCTGGAAGTCTGTTCGAGTTTGTTGGTGCTGCAGCGTCTCCGGGGAGCCGGGCCTCTCATGCTGTTGTGTTGGGAAGACTGATCACCCCGAGTTCTCAGTGAAAGGCTGCGAAGACGCTTGATGGGAATTGTTTTCCTCAGGAGAGCTCTGTCATGGAAACTGAAGCCCTTTTAACAAACAGGCACATCCCTCTGAGACATATGAGCCTGGCTTATCCTTCTCCTTGTCTTTAATGACCTTAATTGCTTGAGGATTTCAAGTCTTTTATCAGTCATACTCTAAAGTGGATGAGAAACCACATTCATTTTGAGACATTAAAGTACACCGATTTTAAAAAGCTCAACAGTGAGCTGGAAGAAAATTATTGTGAGTGTCCCTTTGATGTAATTCTAATAGTTCTTATTGTTTTAAGACATGAAGGAGGAAAACATTGACAGGTTCAACCACCTTTTATTTTGGATTTCATGAGAAAAATGGCTTTGCACATAAAAACTGTTCTCATGTAGCTTTCCAGTGTCTTTTTAACGGCAGATGATTATAAGTCCTGCCAACATGTTTATTCTTTCCAGTAAAAATAAATCATGCGTATAAAAGGAAAGCCAGAGTGAGCGAAGATTGCTTTTTGGACAGGGACCAGAATTTTGGAAAATGTGGTCCTCATTTGGAGAAGCACGAACAATATCACTGGTGTCAGGCAACCGCTAAACATAGTCATTTGCATACTGAATAGTCAGTATATACGTGTAGCAATGATGTGCAGACACAGCAACACATTTAGTGACCTTTCAGAGAAGCTCGGCACCATTCATGATAGTTCCAACTCTTCCTGCAGACCTTTTATGGTTTAGGTTTAAACCTGTGTGGCCGACGTCTTTGATCCCCTCCAAACCCCAGACTCTTTGATTGCTAGATTTAGCCGCCCTCCCACCACCATTACGCCCTCGCCTGCCACCCTGTCTCCTTCTGCACTGCTTAGACCTAAGCATGCGTAAATGATGCACGGAGCGAGACAGCAGGATTAGAAATAAAGAATGGGCAGCAGCAGCATGCAGAAGGATTTGGTGCGACTGGTAAAGTTGGGCGTTCCTTGTGTGAATTAGAATTCCAGAGGCCAACGGCGGCAGAGGTTGTAGGCTCAGCACATACCTTCCACATTAGTCAGTCCAGCTTGGGGTGAGACAGTCAGAAGGAGGGAGCTTTAGTTGTTTTGTTTTGAGCCGCCTTGTAAAGGTCTGTAACAGCATGTTGATGGAGCTTTGGGGCTAGAGGTTCCTTGCTGTCATTTCAACCACGCATGTTTGAATTGGAAGGAAGAAACAAAAGAGAGGTGAAAAAACAAACAAAGTGGAAACATTAAAAAAAAAAAAAAAAAAAGTGGGAGGGGATGAGAGTTGGATGCATGAAAGTCAGATGGCGTAAGTGATAAAGAGTGACACAGAAAGAATGGCGTTAATGTGAGAGGAAGCGAGAGCTATCAACAGACGGAAAAGATGGATTGGAAAGGGGGGGTGAATATAGAAAGAAGGAACTCCCAGAGTGACCTTCGCACTGGGAAGACGAGAAATGAGTCGAAGAAATTCGTAGGAGAAGAAAATGTTCCAGCTGTGACCCTGAAGGAAAGTTTTAGACCAAACAGGGCAGCCCTGTGGCATGAGAACACCCTTGCCTCACACACACACACACACAGGTTTTACATGCCTTGAAAATATAAATAATGAAAAGCCAGACTGTATGTTTTTCAAATTG